GTTCCCCCCCCCCCCCCCCCACCCCAAAAAAAAAAATCACTTCCTTTACATCTAGTCTCTCTCACAATGGAAAAACTCCACCTAAAATATGAGTATATTCTGACCTAATTTACAAAGCTTTACAAGACATACAAGTGTAAAACAAAATCAAAAGATCAAAAATTCAAATAAGAATCTCAAGTAAATTTCTTGTTCTTGTTATGAATGTAAGTATAATAATTGTGATTAGAGTTTAAGTTGTACTTGGACCCCTTAATCCTCATCAAATAACTTAATCTCTTCCAAAAGCAACGCCTTCTCGGGGTCAAAACTCCGGTCAAATAACTCGAGTTCGTCTTACTCTTGCTACGTTTAATGGCCAACCCACGTACTTCCGGTGGTCTGTATGTACGAATCAACGGCCACTTAACTCCGTTAAAAAACGGGTGACATTTAATATCGGTTGCACCCCTGGTACACCCTAGCCTCCTCCGCGGGTCCTTAACCAACAACTTCTCTATTAAGTCCCGTGCCTCGGCCATCCCGGGTTCCTCCCTTTCTCCTTCTGCCGAGTGGAACCTCACCCCTTTTGTAGATGCTATATTGCGCAGGGTGGATTCCTTACTCGCTCCCTTAAACGGGGTCGTCCCATACAACAACTCGTATATTAAAACGCCAAACGCCCACCAATCGACTCCGTTACCGTGGCCATTGCCGTTGACTAACTCTGGCGCCAAGTACTCATGGGTCCCAACACACGATCTTGAAAACGCTGTCGTTGGCTCGGCTACAAACTCAGTGACCTGTTCATCCTGTTTCCGGTTACTGAAACAACTTTTTCTCGAGCCCGACTTAATCTCGGTCCGATTTTCTAATTTTGGTGAGACGTCAGAATTGAAACACAAATCAAAATCTGATAACATAATGTGGCCATCTTCACGGATCAATATGTTCTCTGGTTTGAGATCACGGTACACAATACCTTGTGCATGTAAATATTCAAGTGCTAAAAGAATTTCAGCTGTGTAGAACCTGACCGCTTGAGCCGGTAACCGGTTTCCGGGTTGCTTGCTGAGCAAGGAATGTAGATCACCCTTTGGACAGTAATCCATGAGAAGGCAAGTGTAATGAGAAACTTCCAAGTGAGCATAGAGTGTAGGCAGAAAAGGGTGATCAAGCGAGGAGAGGATTTGAGCTTCAGTTTGAACATGAGATAGTTTCTTGGAAGTCAAGGAATCCCGGTCAACGACCTTGAGGGCGAAGTTTGCGTGATCATAATCGCGTAGACGACAGAGGAAGACGCGGCCGAGGTTACCAGAGCCGACAAGGCGGATAAGTTTAAGATGGCGTAGGTGAAGTGCTCCGTCGGAGGATAATGTGGTGACGGCCTTAATAGCTTCCCAGTTGGGGTTGCTGTGGCGGGAGTGAGGGCGGTGGTGGAGGCTGGGGATGACGGTGGAAGGGGTGGTTGTGGAGGTGGTGGAAAGGCGGTCATTGAAGCTGAGAGTGAGACTACTGCGTGCTAAGCTGCTACGTGCGCTAAGAGTTCGATCGGTGGTGGTGGTGGTGGTGGAGGCGGAGGCGCAGCTGGTAAAGCTGAAATCTAAGTCTGAGTCTGGTGTATTGAAAGAAAATTCTTCAATGTCCATCTTCAGCTTAATTTGTAATTTTAAGGCTGTATTGTAAGGTTGCTTGTATAGGTATATATATATATACAGTAAATTGGTAGTATAGAGAAGTGGGGGTTGGGAATGTGTTTGGTTGACCCAACAGTATAAAGAGTAATTAATATGAAATAATTATCTTAAGGGCTCTAATTTTATTTAGTAATTTTGATAACTATCTTTTTTCAATAATGTAATTTCCTTTTCTTCCAAGATTTGGTAGGCTACAACATTACAAAATTATTTAAAAAGTCCTTTTCGTCTTATAAAAAAGTTCATGTTACTTTCAACTATTCGATTCATTCTCGAAAATTCTTCAAAATTTTGCTTTTCTCATTTTCGATGTGAAACTCAAATTACAAATTAGAAATTTCGATCGTTAGCCCCTTTGTGAAGAATGTACAAAGTTCTTTGGAACAATATGCTCATCTTTTGTGAGGTAATTTACTCAATGATTGGAGACAATAGAATTGTCTTTAAAAACGATTGTGAATTATCGAGAAATTTTTTAACTAATATTTTGTTTGAGCCTTATTTTGGAAAAAAAATATGTATTATTGAACAGTGATTTTTGAGGGGAAGAAGGGTTAAAAAATAAGAAAAATTTTTTAAGTGTAAAATTATTTTCTTAAAAAATATATCGTTAAAATAAGTTTTGAAAAATTGACTTTTGGAAAAATAGGGTTCAAACAAGGGCTAAATATTATTTCTCATTATTAATATAATTAACGGAAATTTTTTTCCATTTATTACCTTTTCAACCATATTTATGTAAAAAACAATTCAACTAAATTACTAATTATTTATTCCATGTAGGACTTGAATTACTAAGATTAATTTTAGAGTGATAATAATTATTAAATAAGATTAATTTTACTTAATTAGGCAAAGGGCAAAACCAGTGGTTTGGGTCCCACATGGAACGTTGACGGTGATGTTCGCCACGTGGTCAACATGGACCCTACATTGTCGCTTCCATTAGCTAAATTAACTGAATTCTCTGAAGAAAAACTTATAAACTAATAGGAAAATGAAATAAAATAGTTTTTAACTTACAAATAATTCATCAATAATTTCATACCAATTGAATTAATGCACAATAATTCAGAAAAAATAAAAATAAAAACAAATTATTAGCTTGCCATTGGCACGTGATCATGGGTTGCATTTGCAGTTTATGTCTTTCTCCCTTAATTTTTTTCCCCGTGTTTATATCATATTTTTTTTTTCGGACACGTGATTGTGGGGATAATCACAATGTGTGTTTCCCCTGGTTTCATTTCAATACTCAACTTGGAACTTTCCTTCTGTCGAAAATAAGTTTCTAGGTACCTTCCCAAATAATTAAAATAGTCAGTTGTACTTCTAGTCAATGGTTAAAAAACAACTTATCTGAATTTTTAGATGAACGGTACCACATTCAGTTTTCGAGACCTAAATGAACTCGAACGATCGAAATTCAACATACATCACGGTGTAGCAGTGAGTATTATTCCTCTCGTCATTCTCCTTACAAAATGGTCTTATGGGACCGATCAGAAATCGAGATAATTTATTTCTACTAGTACTCTTTTTTCAATATACTCTTTATGTCCTACATCAGTTGACAATAAATTTCTTGGTGCCTTCCTTAGTAATTAAAATAATCAGTTGTGCTTCCAGTCAATAGTTTAAAAACAACTGATTTGAATTTTTAGATGAACGACACCACATTCAATGAACCAAATGCACTATATTTTGATTGTTAGTATTGTATTTTTTTCTATTTCACTATTGTAATAACACGATCAACAATTTGTGTTGCACAAAAAGAATTACGATTCCGTAATCTATGGGTTAAGGAGGTCCATTGTAGGACAAATGCATGTGCATTAACTCTAAGACATAGCACAATGTTTGTCGATAGTATATGATAGAAAGAGACGGGTGATGTTGTATGTCCAAATGGTCTCCTTAAGAGAAGGGCCACAAGATCACATCATTGGACACTTTCAATTTCATTCTTGGGTTGATTTATGTCTCACTCGCTTATATTAGAGATATTTTGTGTTTGAGCCACGTTATTTTTGAAAAATGTATTTTAGAATAGTAGATCAATGGAGAATGTGTGGTTAAAATATATAATAAAAAATTGGATTTGCGTTTAATATCATTTTATTAAAGAATGTGTGGTTAAAATGATGTCAAATCACTGTTTAATGATTTTTTTTTCCCAAAGATTGCGGTTCGAACTTGGGCCAATATTATCTTTAAAAGAGTTCTCTTTTACATAAATACTGAATTTAATTTTTCTTAAATAAATTTCAAATTACAAAGGTATAATTTTGTACATGTGGTATGCTTCTAGTTGTGTTTGATTCTATCTCGAAGGAAGGTACTGTTAGATGCTCACGGTTGAAGAGAAGATGCATTTATCTATGACATGTTTAGTATACTGGCCTAATGTTCGAAAAATTGGCTCAGATATTGACTCGAAAAAGATAAAAGAATGGTCAAAGAGAAGTAAGGTCGAATTGTTTGTCAAAAAGTTTAATTGAGGGAATAAAAAATATTTTTTTCTTCCTTTTATAATTAAATGGAGCGCTGAAGAACATGAGACTTCTAGTTTGCTACAAATAATCGAACTAAATTCCCAACCGCCTTCGATTTCTCTAGTTATACAAACTTATTCAATTCAATTCTTGTAACACTGTTAATGTTGAAATGTCATCTTCAGCGCGTCCCATTTTATAGATAGAAGTTGTGAAGTTATATCCATGTGACCATGCCTACCCCAACCCAAACCCGTAGGGAGTTGTCATACATGATGTCTTTGGCTACAAACATCCAAAATAACTCATTCTTGGCACCTTAATCTCCACATAAAAGGCTGTGATTTGTGACCTTTGAATGCATTAACTTGACAAGAGGCTATTAATTAAGCCAAATTCATTGCACAATTGTATGATATGATAGAAGCAAACTATTGAAGCCAAAACATTTTCATCCCTTTCTGTAGATACATTGTCTTTGTCCAATCTAATTAATTATTGAACTCAAACTTTATTATATTAAATAATAAGTTAACAAAATAATTAATTAATTATCTAAACTTATAATTTCTTAATCCTGCAATTTGCTCTCTGCTTCTGCAGAATTCCACATGCACCATCAACTCCCATAGTTTCTATTCATTGTTTTGTCAGTCTTATAGACTCCTAATCATTACTCAGATCCCACAAGATGTATATAAAATTGTCTTTAGAATCAAAATAAAACCCCAACTAAAAAGATGCCCAAGTTTAATGTGTTGTCTAAGGAGAAGGAAAGGGATACTTAAGTTTGCACATATACAGCTGGGTAGGGCTCCAATTTGTCTGCTGACCCACTAAATTGGGTACCTCAAATGTCAACAGACAAGCCATGATTAGCAGGAGATACCTAATATATGTCAAATAAAAAGTTTAGAACAAGACCACAAATTTCAACATAATTTGAGAAACGACGAAAGTCTAGAATCTGACTCTCGATTTGATTCATTTATTCATTTTATGCACATACCTCGTAAGACCTGTATATAAACTTAAGCTTTTACTCTAGACGATTCAGAAGAGACCCTTCTTCTTTCCATGACTACGAGTACCTCGCTTCGCAACGACGACATATATTTTTTAAGTTATTATAAGTCATTTCCTAAGCTAAGACAGTCCCCCTTATTCTACCATAATCTAGCCCACAACTCCACAAGTTTGATCGGTTTGACCTTTGCCATCCACTAGAACAAGTACGAGAATCTATAATGAATGAAATTAACGAATTGAAGATTTATGGGATCTAGAAATTTTTAGTCGGACCGTTGTCTCTTGTGCTCGAGAAATACAACTCAACACACACACACACCCCATTGGCCAATGACAAAGAGAGGAAGTAATGAAATCTCACATTGACGAAAGAAAGCAAAATTGTTGTTGAAAGTGACACTCACATGGAACAACACACTGAAAATAAGGTGATTATATATTTAACATGCCAGTAGAGAGACAAGGAGGGATATGCCATTTTATAAAATGATGAGATGAAAATGACAAGCTGTTAAAATCTTCAATTTGTTTCTAAGCAGAATGTTGGGCAAAAATGAAACAATCGCAACTAAAAAACTTCCTACCAAACTAAAATTGAATGTATTTTATAATATGGATGCAACAAAACTAACCTCTAGTTCAATGAATGGAATTTCCTCCAGCTTAAAAGATTCTTTTTGGGGATAACTAACTAATCAAGAACTAAGACTTTTCACAAACTAGACGAACATGATTAAGAAAGAAAGTTGTGAAATGAAGTTTACCTACAAGCTTTACCAATGGATATACATGGCTATAGGAAGACTTTGTTGCTAGACGCCTAGAATAGTAAAAATACGGAGATCAAGGGCTCAACTAACAAGAAGGAAGGTGTCAAACAAGATATTGTGTGCTGCCCGATTTGAGAGAGATACAATTACCGAGTTGAACTCTTTAAATAAAGCAAGATCTTCCTCTACAAGGAATGGAAGTGTGGATGAGGAGGACTTCTATGCATGGCTCTACTAGGCCCATCACACGAGCTAGGCTCGGCTCGTGGAAAAAGATTAAGCTCGACCATCCCATTAGAATCATGAGCTGCATGGGCTTGGCCAGGCCTTGGTGGTCCAAGAGTTGTTCAAATTTGTTTTCTGAAAATACTATACTATTTTAATTAAAAAGTAAAATTTTTAAAGCATGTTGTCAATAGAATATTGCGGAAGCAAAATCAACAAATATGTTGTATTTTTGCAGCCTATTACAAGGGCGCATGAACTGGCTCATGAAAAAATGAGCCAAGCACGGGTTGCCTGGCGAAAATACGAACATGTGGCTCAACTCGTGTGCCAATTTGAATCTTGCTCGACTCGTGACCCATTAGTTCACAAGATTGGGTTTATTCATGAGTCGAGCCCAAATAAGCTAGTCGATGAGCTCACTAGCTACCTGAGCCCATTCGAGACGTGGTTGAAATAATAGGCTGGCGAAA